AATGGTAATAAGCACATACCTATCAATAATTACCTTAAACATTAATGGATCAAATACTCCAATCAAAAAGCACGGGGTGACTGGATTAAAAAAAAAAAAAAAAAACTTCTATACACTGCCTATGAGAGACTCACTTCAGACCTAAAGACACATGCAGACTGAAAGTGTGAGGAAAATGATATTCCATGCAAATAGAAGCAGCAGCAACAAAAAGCTGCAGTAGCAATACTTAAATGATACAATCTTTGTTTTGAAGTAAACTGTAACAAGAGACAAGGGCATTGCACAATGATAAAGGGATCCAACAAGAGGATATAACAACTGTAAATATCTGCACTCAACATAGCATCTAAATACATAAAGCAATTCATTAACAGACATAAAGGGAGAAATAGATAGCAATACAATTATAGTAGAGGACTTTAACACCCCACTTACATCAATGGATAGATCATTCAAACAGAAGCTCAATAAGGAAACAGTGGCTTTGAACGAAGTATTAGACCAAATACACTTAAAAGATATACAGAACACTCCATCCAAACATAGAATACACATTCAGTGTACATGGAACGTTATCCATGAATAGTTCATATGTGTGCCACAAAACAAGTCTCTGTAAACGTAAGAAGATTGAAATCCTGTCAAGCATCTTTTCTGATTACAACAGTATGAAAAAAAAAACACAAAACAACAGTATGAAAGTAGAAATCAATCACAGAGGGGTGCCTGGCTGGCTCAGTTGGTAGAACATGCGACTTGATCTCAGGATTGTGAGTTCAAGCCCCACGATGGGTTTAGAGACTTAAAAAAATAAATTCTTAAAAAAAAATCTATTACAGGAAAAACGTTGAAAAAAACAAAAACACATGGAGGCTAAAGAACATGCCACTGAACAACCAGTAGATTGAGGAAATCAAAAAATACCTTGAGACAAATGAAAACACAACAGTTCAAAATATTTATAGGATGCAGCAAAAGCAGTTCTAAAAGGGAAGTTTGGAGCAATACAGGCCTATCTCAAGAAAACAAAAATCTCAATCTAACGTTATACCTAAAGAAACTAGAAAAAGGAGAACAAATGAAGTCGAAAATTAGAAGAGATAGTAAAGATCAGAACAGAAATAAATGAAATAGACTTAAAAAGAGAGAAAAAACAATCAATGAAACTAGAGCTGGTTCTTTGAAAAAATAAGCAAAATTGATAAACCTATAGCCAGACTTTTAAACAAAAGACTCAAAATCAGAAATGAAGGGGAAGAAATAGCCAACACCACAAAATACAGTGGATAAGAGACTACTTTGAAAAATTATACACCAACAAATCAGACAACCTAGAAGAAATGGATAAATTCCTAGAACAATATAATCTTCCAGGAATGAGTCAGCAAGAAACAAAATCTGAACAGACTGATCACTAGTAATGAAATTGAACTGGTGATAAGAAAAACTCCTAACAAACAAAAGTCTGGAAGCAGATGGCTTTACAGGTGAATCCTACCAAACATTTAAATAAGTGTTAATGCCTGTTCTTCTCAAACTATTCCAAAAAATTGAAGAGGAAGGAATGCTTCCAAATTCATTCTATGAAACCAGCATTACCCTGATAACCAAAACCAAAGGCACTACAAAATAGAAAATTACAAGCAAATATCCCTGATAAACATCATAGAGCATTCCTCAACAAAGTATCAGCAAATTGAATTCAATTAAAAGGATCATTCACCACGACCATGTGGGATTTGTTCCAGGCATGCAAGAATGGTTATGTCTGCCAATTGAACAGCAATTAACAAAATGAAGGATAAAAATCATATGATCGTCTCAATAGATGCAGAAAAAGCATTTGACAAAATTCAACAAATCCACTCATGATAGAAACTCTCAACAAAGTGGGTATAGAAGGAACATACCTCAGTATAATAAAGACCATATATGACAAACCCACATCATAATGGGTGGTGAAAAGCTGAAAGCTTTTCCTCTGAGATTAGGAACAATACAAGGATGTCCACTCTAGCCACTCATATTCAACACAGTACTGGAAGTCATAACCACAGCAATCAGACAAGAAAAAGAAAAGGCATCCAGACTGGCAAGGAAGAAGTAAAACTGTCCCTATTTGCAGGTGACATAGTATTTTTAGAAAAAGCCCTAAGGACTCCACCATAAAACCATTAGAATAAATGAATTCAGTAAAGTTGCAGGATAGAAAGTTAAAATACAAAAATCAGTTGGGTCTCTATACACTAAAGAGCTAGCAGAAAGAGAAATTAAGAAAACAGTCCCATTGACAATTGTGTCAAAAAGGAAAAAAATACCTAGGAATAAATTTAACCAAAGAAGTTAAAGACCTAAACTCTGAAAACTGTGAGACACTGATGAATGAAACAGAGATATGTAAAGCTATACCATGCTCATGGATTGGAAGAATTAATATTGTTAAAATGTCCATTCAACACAAAGCAATCCACAGATTCAGTGCAATCCCTATCAAAACACCAATAGTCTTTTTCACAGAACTAAAATTCTAAAATGTGCACAGAACCATAGAACACCCTGAAGACCCAAAGTAATCTTGAAAAAGAAGAACAAAGCTGTAGTTAATCACAATCCTAGATTTCAAACTGTCCTACAAAGCTATAGTAATCAAAACTATGTGGTACTGGCACAAGTATTTATGCAGTCACATTTTTCAATTTCAGAAGTTTGATTAAGCCTAAATACTTAAAAATGGGATGTCAGAGTATGTGGTAACTAAGGAGGTGTAATTATAAATATTTTATTAAACAAGTAGTCTTAAAGTATCTCACCTTGGGGTTTCAAAAACTTGAGAATTTTTTTTTTACACAGTGTCATCTTTGTAATGGCTTAATTCTACAATACTTTTCAAATAAAGTACATCCAGTATGGAGCCTACTTAAAAAATAAGTGAGCAAACAAAAAACATTTAACTCAAAAATATGGAGAACTGGTGGCTGTTTTAAGGGTATTAAGAGGTACAAACTCCAGTTACAAATTAGTCATGTGGATGCAAAGTACAATATAGAGAAGACAGTCAATAATATTGTACTAAGTTTGTATGGTGACAGATGGTTACACTTACTGGTATTTGGTGATGTAAACAAATGTCAAATCTCTATGGTTTACACCTACAACTAATATAATAGTGTATGTCCACTATACTTCTACTAAAAAAACATATATTAGGAACCTACTAAACAGACACCTAGATCAGTGGAACAGAATACAGAGCCCAGACACAAATCCAGGTGAACACAGATGAAATCAAGACTGGGAAACTCTTCAGGGCAAACAACTGGGTTTCTTTAACAAATTTTAAAGGGAAAAAGAGATGCAGGAAAACTTAATAGGTTAAGAGATTTAGAACACTGACCAGTTGCAATGTGGCCCTCATTTGGATCCTCAGTCAGACAAACTTAAGAAGAATGTAGAACATTGAGACAGTTTGAATACTGGATATATTATGATAAAAGAGCTGGGTTTTCTTGGACATGATTAATAGTATTGTGGTTACATTTAAAAAAAACTTCATGCTTAGAGACAGATGCTGAAATATTTTCTGAAATAAATGCTAGAATGTTGAAACTATACATTTTGAATTTCCTTCAAGATAATACTGGAGAGGTTTGGGATGAGTGGATGGGATAGTATCGGCCCAGGAGTTGATAATAGATTGGGGCTGGGTAATGAATACATGGGGGTTCTGTATTCTAGTTTTACATATATTTTAATCTCTCCACAATACAAAGTTAAATATATGCTAAAATTAAAAATATAACATAAGGACAGTATTAGTCATCATCACATTATATAACAAACCATCCTAAAACTCACTGGCATATTACAGTAAGTATTTTTTCATACTTCTGGGTCTTAGGATCATCTGAGGGTTGACTGATGGATAGAGGCAGCTCTCTCTGCCACAGGCACATGTTGAATTCAGATCTGAGCTGTGTTTTCATTCTGGGTGCCCAGGCTGAAGAGGTAATGGCTATTTAGTGCATGCTACTTTCAGATCACAAAAGTGCCATCAAAATAAAAGTGCATTTTCAAGCCTCTGGTCATGTCATCTGGTCAAAGCAAGTCTTGAGGCCATGGCCAGATTCAAGCTCCTCCTCCTTCCTACTAAGAACCATCGCAAGGGTGTAGATATATTTATATTAAAGGCAAGTGAAGAATTGGGACCAATAATCCAGTCTGTCTCAGGGTCTGAAAATGAAAGTTAAGGAAATGAAAGTTAATTTCCCAGAAAAGGATAAAAGAAACAGGGCCATAGCAGACCAATTCAGGAGTTGTAAAACTGACTAATACAAGTCCCACAAAGAGATGAGAGAGAAAACAAAAGGGGAAAATTCCTTTTCCCCATAATTTTTCCCAGAGTTGGGGGGAGGAGTCTAAATTGGAAGGGTTCTAACTCCCCTAAATGAATGAAAAAAGTCTCTTGCCCAGACACATTAAGTTTCAGAATGTCAAGAGTAGTGGAAGATCCTGTTTCCAGATGTGGGGAAAAGGACATCTCCTAACTAGGTTTTCATTTTCATTCCTTGTTAAATACTCCTAGTTCTATGATTGTGATTTTCATCCTTTGTGAAGATTGTATTGATTAGTGAAACATTAACTTTGATTCCTTCAGAGCAGTATTTGGCCCATAACAGAACTGGCCATACCTTCAAACTCAGCATTTTGAGCCTAAGTTATGCAAATTACCCAGGGAAGCAAACGAATTCTTTAAAAAGTTGTTTTACACAGACTGATTCAGAAAGTTATTGGATAGTCAGCTGATAAACACAAAAAATTACATCCTGCTAGAGTGTGGTTAGAATAGATCCTAACCTAGATTCTGTAAGGATAGAAATGTGTATATTGCCATTGTAGCCATAGTTTTGTTTGGGGACTTTAGGTTTTGTAATCTGTTTTAGATAAGTTTGTAATATGAAAAAAAAGTTGGTTAAATATATCTATAAATTTTTTTTAAGCTCACTGAAAACTGAGGCTAATTTGGAAGTTCTGAAGTCAATACCTAGTGAAAAACTAATGATTGAAACTGGTAAGTTTATGCTTTTAGAACTTTCATTTTCATATTAAACCATATCAGAAAAGAGCTAGACACAAAAATATTTTAAAACAGCTCACTCTTAGCTTCAGCAATTATACTTTTCAGAAAACCTTTGGGGTTTTTTATCAATTGATAGAAAAGTATTTATGCAATCAGGTTTTTCAATTTTAGAAGTTTGATTAAGCCTAAGCACTTAAAAAAAAGAATATTAGAATATGTAACTAAGGAGGTTGTAATTATAAATATTTTATTAAACAAGTAGTCTTAAAGAAGTATCTCACTTGGGGTTTCAAAAACTTCAGAATTTTTTTTACAGTGTTGTCTTTGTAATGGCTTAATTCTGCAATACTTTTCAAATAAAGTACAAGAATTTAAATCAAACTGGTTTAGTCAAGGAATTTTAGAAATTAATCTGTTGCCTCTTATAATAAGGTTAGAAGCTAAACATTTTACCTAACCCTGAACTCAAGGCTTTACTTACACATAAGGGCTTTTTTAGGAAAGTCAAGACTAAGCCATTCTGAAGAAATCAGGTTTATTTTCTTGGAGAGTCATGAAAATGATATTAAAAGTACAATGCTTGTAAAATGTGTGAATTCTTATAATTCTTTATTAAAGAGGTAAGTGAATAATCCCAGTATTTTTTTAAAAAAAAGATTTAGTTGAGAGACAACACAAGCGGAGAGGAGGGGCAGAGGGAGAGGGAGAAGCAGACCCCCCTGCTGAGCAGGGAGCCTGATGTGGGGCTGGATCCCAAGACCCCAGGATCATGACCTGAGCCGAAGGCAGACGCTTAACCAACTGAGCCACCCCGGTGCCCCAATCCCGGTATTTAAAGCCACTGTTTCACATTCAGTAGAGGCAAATAGAGGCTTAACTTAAATGTTTTCAGGTTACAATTTGTATTTCTTTTAGCTTTCTTTTTTTAAAGTATGCCATACACCAACAGTAATGTTAGCAGAAAAAAACGTAATGAAAGGGAATCTTAAAAAGCACTTAAAATTTTTTTAAAAAGGCATTTAAAAATTTGTACAGTTCAAGGTTTAATCTTGTGCTTAGAATTGTTTTACCATTTTTAAAGCTGAATCATGACTTATATTTTAGAAGTTATGTATTTGTTTGATAATGTTAAGAAAACAATGATTTCAAAGATAAACCTCGTAAGAGACTTCTATCTTTGCTTAACTCTAGACGCACCTTGGTGTGGAGTGAAAAGTACACATGCTGGATCAAAATACGTAAAAACTTCATTTCCTACCAAAAAGAAGTGGGAAAATGGGCACTGCGTAAAAGACAGGAATGAGCCCTGCCATATAATGTAAGTATTTTGTTTTCATGGTCTTCAGAACATTAAAGTCAACACCAAATGCCATTTCCAAAATGAACTCAAGGGACCGAATTAAAGTTGGGTGACATCCAAATGAAGTTCACATCAAAAGCTACCATTTTAATGCAACCTCTCAACTCATTAAAAGTGGTTTAATTACAGGAGTGAAAACTTGTGATTTTGGTCATTTATCATTTTGTAGGAAAGGGGAAAAAAGATTCTCATGCAGCCTCCTTGCTGATGGTTTTAAAAATACACTCTTAGCAGGAGACCTTTTTGTGTATTTTAAATTATTTGACAACCTGAATAAACCTAAGTAGTAACACATTTCTTGAAGCCTCTGAACAAAAAGGTCAAGTTATAGAAAGGATTTCCTTTTTCTAACCCAAAAGCTGGGGGAGGGGGACCAAGCAGTAATTCAGCATCGTTTTTTGATTATAATACATAGCATGTGAAAAGAGGGGCTGTTTACCATCCAACTGTTAAGGAGCTACAGAGCTTATAACTTACAGGATAAGTTTGTATCATGTTAATGGGCACATCATCCAGTTTTTGTTTGCATAAGCAGATAATTTAAATAGAGATTATATCAGTCTAGTATGGTTTACCAGTTCAGGCTACTGAGCTGTTACTTTTAGGTTGTAGTAATTCCTTCCATATGTACTTTAGTTTTTAACAGATAAGAGTATTAGGTAAGCCAGATCTAAAATTCAGTGGCAGAGAACTGCAGATTTATTCTATAAAAATTATACTGGAAAGATTTTCCTTTATTAACATGCTGGTGTTGGCAAAGATTTTAAAACCGAGTGTTTTAAAACCCATAGGCTGAGGAATGTTTTTAAATTCTGATTAGTAAAGAATCACTTGTAACTTTTATGAAATGTAGGTAGTTGCAAATTCAGTCAGAAGACAGAAGACAATTATTACTGAATCATTCTTTATAGAGATTTAATAGGACACTAGAGACAAGAAACTGGTATTTTTCTAGTAGCCAGCTCAGGGGAAGTATTTGCCAACAGTGTATCCATGTCAGTTTTATATACTGCCTTAATGTTAAGTACAATATAGCTGTTGACTTTAGAGACACATTTGCAAAACAAAATTCTAAGGTCTTCCAAATGCAGACTGTTAAGAACCAAGAAAGCTTGAGTATCGTCTGCAATCATGAATACCAGTTGAGGAGGCAGAGCTTGGGAAAGCCAGCATTTACAAACTGAAAATTTTTAAACCACATTTCAAAAACACACATGCCTCTAGTCTAATGCTAATTACTAATTAATTCCTACTTACAAAGTCATTTTTATCATTTTTATCAAACCCATCTATTAACAATTTTATGTTTTAATTATTTTTATAGAGATCTTTCCTCCCTTTTAGATTTTAAATTCCTTGAAACACATTTTGAAGCTCCTGCATGTCAGGAAAGGTACAAGGTTACTGAGGCTACCTAGAAGAATCAGGACAATCCCTGCCCTGCATCCATCCACCAGATGACTAGGTACATTCTGCCAGGCACTTTGGATAGACATTGAAGGAATCAGACAGGGATCCTTAACCTCCTGGAGCAAATAAGCAGAAAGTATAATCCAAGATGTTAGTGCTGTTACAGAGGTATAAAAATATATGATGAGGACCCTAGGACATAGCAACTACCTTCCTGGAGGAGAAATAGCTCAACTAAGGTGACACTTCAGCTGTTCACGGGGTACAACTGGGTGTTGTGCCAGACCAAGACAAACACCTCAAGCAAAGGCAGACTGCAGACGGGTTGGCTGCTCTGGGGAAAACAGTGAGTTTAGTGTGGCAAAAAGTAGGATGCACAGGTAAGTGATAAGCCTAGGAAGGTACAGTGAGACCAGACTGGTGAGGGCTCTTGTATGCCAACCTTAGCAGTTCAGATTTCATCAGGACCCGAAGGATTTTAAGCAGGAAAGGGGCAGGTTTTTTTTTTAAAAAAAGCTGTAGCGTATCAGCATAGAGAAAGGACTGAAAGGGAGATGGGTGGCAGGAGTCATACTGATTTCACACAGTATTATGCAGGTAAGTTCCAACTGAGTAGGTAAGAGGAAAATTCTGTAGTTTACTAAGAAAACTGGGTCTTTACTGTCAATTTAAATGCTAATATATTTGCTTTTAGCACATTTTGACTTATTCAGATAAAAATTTAGTCTATATTAAGTGTGGCTGTTGCGTTACAATTATATAATTAAAAAATTCCCAGTTAATCTCTAATTCCTTTAGGTGTTCATATTTAAGAAACCCATACCAGGGACAAAAATCTTAACGAATATTTAAATGTTTAATTTGGACTTGAGAACTTTCTAATTCATGTATAAAAACATCTATATATAGTACTGCTAGAGAACAGTACTACTGATTATTATTCTAGGCACAGAAACTGAAAGGACACCTGGGCTAGTCTCGCTCTTGCAGGGAGTTAAGTACAGGAAGAGAAGGCATCTCTCCTCCCCTCACCCCAATAACCATACATTGTTCCAAGTAAATAACTTCTAACTTCCTTTGCTGACATTGTGCTGGTCGTGATGCACCAAATTCTTGCTGCTTCTGGGACTAATTCTCTTAGCAGTGGCTTTCAAACTTTGCTATACCCACAATGCCACAATAACTTGTGACTCAGCACATATGTACATATATAAAACCCAAACAGAAATGAAACAGTACTTCCCTAAGTGTGATGTACTTTTCCTTTTCTTACTATTTTTTGAAAGGTCATCATGACCCACTAATGAATGCATAATGACCACAGTTTAAAGGAACTCTTCATTTTCACTGGGTCAGTTCCATTAGTTGTGGTTGACATAATATGGGCTGGTTTTTGAATTTATTTGAACCTGGACCTTGGCTCTAGTTATATGCGAGACTGCCCCAGAAATTTGTCTCAAATTACTCTCTTTTAAATAGCATAACAGTTAAACTTTTCTGTTGATGGTGCTGAAAACCTTATACCTGTTAAGCTTATTATGTTAAGAGTGCTAGTACAGTAGTTTCCTTTATGTGGAAACTAATATCTTTAAAACTGAGCATATACCTGGAAATTTAACCATTTTGTTTTGTTTTCTTTTAGTCAAATACTGGAGATAATGTCAGCAGTGAGAGAGCAGGATCCATTGGAATTAGCCAATACACTATATAACAACACCATTAAAATATTTTTTTCCTGATGGTATGTTCTTTCCATTTCCCATCATTTATGTAAAATTTCATGGTAAAACTTACTGAAAGATTGAATAAAGGAATTCTCTGGAAGTTGTCTAAAGAGTTATTCCTATTACTACATACCATACCCCCCTCATTTTTATCCATCAAGTCAGATCAGAATTTTAGTATCAATTAAGGTCTTAGTTTACAACAATGAAAACTCCCAAATATTTTGTAATTGCTTCAAAAGTCTGAAAAGGACAATTGCATGTTAACGCTGCAAACAGAATGGCCAACAAATATACTGGTTTTATTTACATCAAAATTAAACAATTAGCACATTCTGGTTTTTATACCAAAGTTTAGTTGATAAAAGCCTGTTTCTCAACTCTTACACAGTCTCTGAATCATGACTTTTGAACCCAGCTCAGCCACGTGCTACACTCAGATTTCAAAAAAGTCTCTTCTGGCAGCCTATTTTCTCCTTCATTTTAAAATACTCTACATGTAGCTTTTATCCTCTGGTCCAAATTATTTCCTTGACTTAATGTGGTTTCCTCTGATTTGCATTTGCATTTTCCCACCCATTTTAAAGAAAAACTAGGGTCCAGAGTTAGATACTTTTATATGCTTTCATTGAGGAATCTTTGGCACAGTTGACGCACTGTATTATATCATTACATCTATTAAAAAGCTGTTTGTTCAAATTTTGTCATAAAAACATGAAAACATTTTATTCTATGTACAATAATGTACACAAATTTAAATAGGTCACCAAAGAGACCAGAAGTAATTAAAGAGGTATATTTACAGTAGCACATCACAGTAAACGGAAAACCATTCACAGATTCAACATGGATACTGTTTTTGTGCTTGGTTACACACTGAAGTGAAGCCTATTACTCCATTTTGGATGAACTGAATTTTAAACAAATAACCTCAATGATTAGTAAATGCTATTTTAATCAGTATCATCATTAAGTTCTTCAGCTGCTGGGCCTGTGTGCTGAATCACTCCATTTCTTTCTCTTTGAACATCATCATCACAATCTGTACTGTCATCTTCGTTCAATTCCCTGTCAGATTCAGCAGCAGCTTCTCTTGCAGCTTCCTCTGGATTTTCATTGGGTGCAATAAATCCATTGTTGTTAGATATATTTGCATTATCCTTAATATCATCTTCGATGTACACTTTCTGATGGCACATTGGACAAGTATCTTGGATGTACAGCCATTTCCGAAGGCAAAGTGCATGGAAGTAATGATTACATGGTGTGATGCGAGCAGATGTTGTAAACTCATGATAGCAGATTGCACATACATCATCTATTTCTTGTAAGCGGCTCCCTTTTATTTCAGGAAGTGAATTAATTTTCTTAACAGCAGTCCTACGGTTCATGAATGTCTTCCAGCCATTTTTTGCTTGTAAGTAGATGTTAAAATATGCATGTAGACACATCATACAAGCCCGAATTTTACTTCCTGACTCAAACATCATAGTGTAAGCCCCATTTCCAAACATTACTACTCCAAATATAAATTCAATAATATTGCCTGTTGAACGAACATAGTAGACATAATCATCAAGCTTTTCCCAAAGGACATTATAGTAGCCATCAATCATGAATAACGTATACACAGTGAGAGAAACAATTACTTTTAAGCAGAGTTCCACACAAAAGGCTGTAACTGCGAACAACCATGTATTTAGTGCATAGTGATGCCAAAGAACGTAACTGAGTAAAACAGGAAGAATAAACAGGCAAGCAGAGACAAAGAGCACAGGAAAATGTCTACGGAAAGATGACACATGAGAGGCACTGAGAGACATTAATACAGGGTCTGTCATTCCGTGGATGAAATGCAGGACTGCAGTTAATAAAAGGCACATGTTTCTACTTAAGCGAATAAGTCTCTCTTCTGGTCTTAGCCCACTTAAACCAGTCTGAAGAGCCAAAATAAAAAATAAAACAGGTGCTACGAAGCCAAGCCGCCTGTCATCTTCTTCGGTTGATCCAATAAAGGCCAATATTCCAAGGCCCAAATAATGGGCTATTGAGGAAATTACAGCACTCATGCCCAGTACAGTTAGTGTAGAATCACATCCACTAATTATAAGATTGCAAATGAGGTCCCAGAAGTCATCCCAAGAAATAAAGAAGGAATCCGTTTCATTTGCCATCCTTAAAATGTACATCAACACTGTAGCCTGAGCTGTAATTCTTGTTAGCCAAAAGACTCTCAGTATATCTGGGAAACGAATCCTCTTCCATGTGTCCTCCATTAATAACTGTAATCCATAAATTCTATACATGTGCCTCACTAAAAGATAAACATACCGTGTAGAATAATAAAACCACTTAAGCTTCACTGCCAAGACAAGCACTGTGTTTAATGTGAGAATCAAGGAAGAAGTAAAAACTAAAGTCTCTCGGATGTGCAATGGGAGCTCTGTGATTAAGCCTATTACAGGAACCAAGAGATCCAAAATAATTAATTGTGAATAGATGGAATGAATTTGTAATAGTGTAATGTATCCAATTCCTAAGGTTAGCTGTAGAACGATGAGTGCCATCCACAGCGAGGGCCCTTTTCGAGGAAGCAGCTCAATTCCGAAAGCTGATGTGTTGTAGGCACCATAGAAGTCAATGTGCAAAGAAGCATAATAATTTACCAACACTGAAGTTGCAGCTAACAGAAAGGCTGAACTGTACATGTAAAACTTGAAAAGTGATCGTTGTGACAAGATCAGAACAATACTGGATACAAATATACCTAAAAAAAAAAAAAAGAAGAAGAAGGAAAGAAAGGTCATTTGAGTGCAACATTTTTTAAAAGATTTTATTTATTTGAGAGAGAGAGAATGCCCGAGAATGCCCGTGCGAGCACAAGCGGGGAAAGGGGGAGAGGGAGAAGCAGACCCCAGCTAAGCAGGGAGCCTCATGCGGGGCGCAATCCCAGGACCCCGAGATCATGACCTGAGCGGAAGGCAGACACTTAACCAACATTTTTAAGAATGTTTTTGTACTAACAGTTATGCCCCTCTTCCCTTAATTAGGAAATACAGTATTTTCAAAGTTATGAACATTAAGTCTCAAGACAGTTTAGGCTTAAGGGCCATGAAAAGTTTTGTAAAGTCAGAGTTCAACAGATCAATCATACTATTTTTTAAAATATTATTCCTTATCTTTTAAGTTCCAAATTCAAGTAGTACTATATATCCAGACACCAAATTACTAAATGATCTTCAAGATTAGTTATTAGTGATACCTACATTTTAACAAGTTTTTAAATCTTGAAAGAACATGTCCTTTATAATTTCATAACCACTAAAAATAACCAAAATGCAAATATTTGTTCCTGTTAAATCTTAGATTTCTTTTTCTTAAAAGTGTTCTTTAGGAAATCAAGTTTAACTTTTATACTTGTACCTAATGCCGCCTTCTTCTCAGTGAACTCCTGCTGGCTTTTATTTTTCCTGCTCCTTAAATGTGTGCATTCCCCCTTGGGTCCAAATACAGGGTTTTTTGTTTGTTTGTTTTCCCCTCTCTACATACTTTCCTGCAGATTTCAGAAACATCATCCAAGTTCTTTTTCCTGTACATTACTCTCTCTCTTACTACAGTCAACCCTTTTTATTCTTCAAATTACAAAAACATTCAGAAAACCAAAGCATGTTTTAAAAAAATGGAATAAGTACCCCCCCACACTCCATATGTAACAAAGTACAGTGTGATGTGTGTGATGTGCATCCAGCATCATCTTTCTTTGTGCTCTGACAAATTTTGTGAGATCACAATAAACATTATTGCCCAAGGTTTCAATATGGAAAGGATATCCAAATATACACCTGATTCCACTTCTACGTTACAAGTGCAATACTCAAGATTTCTAAAACCTAACTGACTTCAAATAACTCTTGAGATTTCCAGTTTCAGTTAAAGGTAACATTATTCTCTTAATGGCACCTCCAGCCCCGAACCCTAAAACTTTGACAGTTATTTGCCAATTCTACTAACACCTATTACTTCCCCCCTTTTCTCAGTGACACCAACCTGTTAGCCGGTCTCTAAAAACTCTTGTCCAAATCTATCTACAATCCCATCTAGCCACAAAGTGCCTTTCTGCATTTCTTTGCTCAAAAGCAGCAGCCCTTGAAATTACTATCAACAAAAATCTACATTCCTTGTCCACTCACTCAAGGATTCAATGTGGTATTCCTTCCAACACACACCCCACCACTCCAGACTTTCTCCAACACACCCCTTTCTCTGCCATAACCGCAGCTGTGTTTACATTCTTCTCTTTGCCTGGTACGGTGAGCTTCCCAAATCCCTGACTGTTCAAATCCTACCCATCCAATAGACCAATTTTCTCTGATAGTTACTGATCTTTGAAATTACCAACAGAACTCAGTGAAATGCCCAATACTCATACACTACCTGATATTGTAGGTTTGTAGTTATCTGAGGAGGTCATCTACCCTGTTATATAATGTATCCTTGTGATAGCAAGCAAGGATTCTACCTTGCACATTATGAATCCCAAAATATTCTGCAGAAAATAAATTATTTCATTGTTTATTGAAATAACTGGGGAAATGTTAATGTAGAATTCTGGATTCCCAGAATTCCCACATGGAAACTGAAACCTATGAAAAGCTAAGACAAAGCTGAGAAACCAGAGCTTGGGAGTACAGCAAAAATGGCAAACCCCAAATTAAACATCATCTGTCCACCTTATTTCAGCACGTAATAAAGAAAAGACACCGCATATTACAATGGAGGCATTTTACAATCTATTGCATATAAAAGCAAGGGCTAGTTCTTCTAAATGATGACTTTCCCCATGAACTTAAAATTCATCCTGTGCCAACCTGTCACGTCATTTGTGAAAAGGAGAACAAAAGGACACAATCACCTGAAAGACACACGAGTCTCTGCATAAGAACCACCTGATTCCTGGAACAAATGGGCCACTAATAATCTCCCAAAGAGTTGACAGCTGTGAATAGGCCCTTTCAATAGAAAATAACTTTTTTTGGAGGTTTAGAAACATTTTCACATAAGGTAACAGGAAATGGAAGCCACTATATGTAATCTTGCTTT